CTCCAATAGCAGCATGTTGGGAGGCTACTTGGCAAACAGTTGGAAAAAACTATTTGCTGGAATTGCAAATATTATTTATACTTTCCTGCTGTCTTTATTGGTGTTGCCGAAAGGGAATGTGTAATTAAATGTATTACGTCAACAAAGTTCACCTAACTGTATGAGGTTTGAGCTCACACACGCACGGACATACACAACCACTCAGAAGCGCCACATGTAGGCTATCAACACCAGCCTGCCCTGGCCTCAAACCACCACAGCCTGACAACGGCACAGTGAACTAAGAAGAGGATTAAACCTGTTTCCTTGATGTTTGTCTCTGGGGAATGGGCCGGTAGGCCTACATGGACCGGTTGCTATAATATAGCTTTTGATCTTGGCGTTGGGGGTCTCAATAGCGCCATAGAGTCCCCTATCGGTTGGGGCCCTTGGGGCAACTGTTGGACCACTGCCGGGCACAGCCAAATCCAGTCTCTCCTCCTGGCTTGCTGGAGAAGAAGGTTGCACAGCCACGGCCACGGATACAGCTTCACTTGTGGAGCTAGATGGCAATAATGGTGGTGAGGCAGGAGAGCTATCGTTAGCCTCCGGCTCCCGTTGCAAGTCAACATTGCTAACGTTAGCGCTCGATTTCACTGACGATGTATGACAAAACAAACGGTCTAATTTCAACAGTTTAGCTGTTACATCTCCTTGTTCTCTCTTGTCCTTTCTCTTTTGAGCGCCGCTCTTGTGCTTTGGTTTGCTATACATTATAAATGCAAGCTATTACACTTTTTATAATGCTACCGAACTTGCTGCTGCTAGCTACAGTACAGTACAGGTTGATTAAACGGATCGCTCGTCACGCAAGGTATCACATGACATGAAAGGGAGCAAGGTCATTGGACAGACAAATTACAAATTAATTTAGGTTGCTTGGTTACTTTGAAGACTGCGTGAACCGGTCAATGCCATATTTATTTTTTTAAATATATTAATTTTTTTTTTTTTTGCACGGGCCCCTGGCCGGCTCTGGGGCACCGGCTGCCACCGTCGATAGTACGCCACTGTATTCAACCAACCTCATACAGTTATGTGAAAATCTGTGTTGAACATGATACATTTAATTAAATGTCAACGGTTTTCAGTTTTTCAGTGTAAATCAACAACTTACCTGTATTTACACATGTTCACGATGTAGGAAGGAAATGTAAATGCATTGATCGGGAACTACTCAGTGCGTCCTGTCGGTGTAGTGACCGTCCTGGAATTAATCAGATCGGGGGAGAGATCATTCACATGCAATGACGAACCTGTCCACATGCAGGTGGCCGCGCTCTACACCAGGGGATATGCTGAAGTGCACACCTAAACACTCGACAGCACCAGGAAGTCTGACCAGGCGAGATCTCCGATACATTTACCTGTACAAACTGTAGCAGCGGGATGGGATGCAAGGTACATCAAGAGCTCATTATGCTCCTTACCCTGCAATTAATCAAACAATGTAAACACAATTCGCAGCTCAGGCACACACAGACAGAGCCGGAACCTCTGGGTGGCAATTCAAATGCGTACACCACACAGTACGAGTCAATAAATGAACGTCAAATATTGGAAATGTTAAGATTCCACAGCCAATCTGGAAATGATGTAAGAGTCGGGCTTCCTGCTGAGACCACCACCACAAGCAGATATATCTTCCTCCTCTCTGTCACACTGTTAAGCCTTTTAGTCTCATCTTTTGTGAAATGCACACACCTGTGCAGCAAATGTTGACGCTCTGTAACAATGAAAGAATTTACATGAAGGACGACCGTGCGAGTAGAAACACAGCTCTGTGGCTGAGATACTCAGACGAGGCTGGGCATGCACCACGTTCCTTCAACTGTGATGAGGCTGGGCTAAGTTGTAAAGAAGGCTGTATCTCTACTTAGTCGAGGTTTTGTATTATACGAGGCAGGAGGCCAAGTGTTAGTCTGGAGTCATGTCCCATTCATAATAAATAATTCATTCATTGGTGGAGGTTTTATTTAAAGAGCAAGATGACAACGTTAGGAGTGGTCATGCCACATAAACTCTCATTAGAATTCATATCGTTATGCAGGTAGACACACTAGTAGAACTCAAGCACTTGTAATTAATTTTTGAACCCCGTCTCCAGCTGACTGCATGTTTCTGGTAGTTTGTCCCAGATATTTGGAGCATAATAACCTGAAAGCTGCTTCTCCATGTGTGTAGTTTCAGACTTCGTTGGGGAGAGACAAGCTGACCAGTCCCAACCTGTAAACATTGTTTTTTTATTCTATGACTGGGATATATATATTATAAAGATATAAATATATATACATAGCATGTGCTTCACTTGATCCCCCCACCTGCCCTCAACACCTCATCAGCCGTTGTTATATGAATGATACCTAGGATATTATACGGTACTGTTGTCTCTGTTTCTTCAGCTAACCCAGCCCAGCCCTAATATAGCAGACAGACAAACAAAACAATTGAGACATGGCTAGAGAAAATCGGTAGAAAACTACTTCCCTTTTTGACAGATTGTCCAGAAGAAGATGAGGCTTTACAATTCCCATGAACACACACCCATTCCCTCCTCTTCTTGATTTTTCCTTTTAGTTTGTTTCTGAGTACAGCACCAGCCCCATATGTGGCTCCGTTTGATAAAAACCTTTACAAAATGTTTATAGTCTGGATCCAAACGTGGAAGTGAAATCCCAGCATCCTCCGTGCTCCAGAGCTTTAGGGGAAAGATTACATCGACTTTGAGGTTCTAAGTGAAGAAGCCATACGGGGACCACGCTGGATAAACATGATGGAATAGGATGAGGGACTTGTTTTAAAAGCTACAAAATACACTTTCAAATTGCACTTGAGAGCTCATAGGGACTTGGACTGTGCAGCTTGATTTTTGTTGTATATATTCTAACATTTTTGTTTTACACTATCATATTGTAAAAGAATGAAAGGTACTCTTTTTAAATGTCAGATGTCTCATCGGAGCAATATTTGCATTTAGGCTTGCCTGACAGTCCCACCGACACAATTGGACTCCACCATCATGTCTGCCAACGCTGTGTGGAGGAGCATTATACACGGAGCATCTCCAAGGCATCAAGGCCAATGACAGTGACAATGAGGCGCTTGTCCAGCAAGTGGCCACCCTTCTCTCTGCCTGTCTCTGTCTTCCTCTAAATCTTCCTTGTTCTCCTCTCTTCTGTGGTCTTATACACGCATCAATAACCCAACACACACACACACACACACACACACACACACACACACACACACACACACACATACACTACACCACACACACACACACACACACACACACACACACACACACACACACACACACCACACACACACACACACACACACAACACAACAGAACATCTTTATTAGCCCTCTGTATGCAGGCTGCGCTCAGCCCGAGATTGCAGGAGCTGACCCCTCCGCTGTGAGCTTTACAGGGGAAATGTTTACCCCAAACCCCCAGAACATGAACATTAACCTCTTTCTAGATAGAAGACAAACAAGAATCCCTCCCTCCATGGAGGGCCAATGAAGGCCAGACGGCCTCTCTAGGACATCATGGACAATCAATCTCATTACCGACTCGCGGGGGGCAGTGAGGAGCTGGGGGGGGGGACCGTTCTTCCCAGGGACACAGCGGTGTACCTGTGTGGCTAAACATCCAATACCAAGTACCTATGAAATGCAGCGAAGGGCAAACACGCTGATTAACCAACAGTGGAACGAACAATATGAAGTCCATCAACACCCCTCCTTTTTGAACATCTCCTTCCTGGCTCTTCCCTCCTGTCTCTCTGCTCCCTCCCAGAGATTTAGATGGATATCCCTGCAGGCTCTTGATTAAAGCCCCAACCAGTGGACGGGTGTTTTGGTTTGTGGGTGAAAGGAATGGGGAGCTGGGGAGGAAGGGGGGGGAGGGGGGGCAGTGAGGAGCCTGGGCAACAGAGCAGTTTCTCATTTTTAGGGACCCGAGGGTGTAATTCAATCACACCTCGATAATTCCCCTGATGCAAGAGTTGAATCCCCCTCACACACATCAAGTACTGATAGACACCACAAGCTTACACTGATCCCAGATTGAGGGTCTCCTCCTGGGTGGGCTTAAGAGCAACTACTGGGTACGTTTTACCTGTGTCGTTTGAAGAGCCCATTATTTTAATTGAAAAAGTTACCCGCCCGCCAAAGGCGAACAATAGAAGAATGGTGAAAAAAAAACGAAAAAGAACAGGGGAGAGAATTAAAACAAAAACACCAGATGGTGATATACATGGTTTAAAATGATTGTTTATACTTACTGTTTGATTATATGTGATAATGAGAGTGGGATTCCTCAAGGCAATTAGTGTCTGCGGCAGCCATATTGTGAGAGGACAGGGGAAGGACGGCACAGGCTGTTATGAAGGAGCGCTTATCAAATATCTCCGGCGGGGTGATTAGTGTAATAAGACACTGCAAGGTGAGATAGGCCACTCACACTCCTTTAGTATGTGTGTGTGTGCGTGTGTGTGCATGTCTGTGGGCTTGTGTGTGCATAGGCAAGTAAGCAAGTCAAAATGTGTGTGAAGGCGAGCTGTAGAGAGAGGCTGAGAACAGATAAGTGTCTTTCCATCTGTTTCCATTTCCGTGTGTGTGTGTGTGTGTGTGTGTGTGTGTGTGTGTGTGTGTGTGTGTGTGTGTGTGTGTGTGTGTGTGTGTGTGTGTGTGTGTGTGTGTGTGTGTGTGTGTGTGTGTGTGTGTGTGTGTGTGTGTGTGTGTGTGTGTGTGTGTGTGTGTGTGTGTGTGTGTGTGTGTGTGTGTGTGTGTGTGTGTGTGTGTGTGTGTGTGTACTTGAATGTACACGGTGTCCCCATGTGCCCCGACGTGTACAAGTGTGATATAATCCCTATGTTAATGTGGGTTCCCATGCCAGGCTGGCTGCCCCGGGGGCTTTAGCCTGTGACAGAGGGCAGATCGGGGGCACTTACCCCTGGCAGAGTCTTCTGTTCATGGAGGGCGCTCTGGGCCTTCAGCGCTGACTCTCTGGCACAGTATGTTAGAAAGGCACATCCTAGAATATCAGGGAGACAGGAGAGAGACAGACAATGAACCACCATTAATATTAAAAATAAGAAAAAGTGCCACAGTGACTAGGAATATATGGCTTTGTGTGAAGACAGAGGGAATGTACTGTAGTGTTTGTTGTGCTTTTTTAAGATGCTAAACAGTCTTAGTTAATACATCAGTCTCAGGGGGCTTCACAGTCTGTACAGCAACACCCTCTGTTCCCTTGCGGCGCACAAGGAAAAACTCCCAAAGAAAAATGGAAGAAACCTTGGGGAGAGCAACAGGAGAGGGATTACTCTCAAAGGAAGGACATACGTGCAATAGATGTCGTGTGTAAAGATTAAAAAAGGTAAAATTACAACATAGACCTCCCGAACGATAATGTGAACGGATATAAAAAAGACAGACCCCGCTAAAATGAAAGAGTGGACGTCAGGCAAATTATGACTCTAAACTGTACCGTAGTAAACTAATCCAAAAAAGTCGTATAGGTGGTTATGATTTATGGATTTTAGCATTTAGTACCCATCAAATACATTGTGTAACGTTAATGGGTGATTGCTAAAGTTTGCAGCAAAAGCTGTGGAACAGATTAAAATAAATTAAACTTCATAATCATCTTTCTTTAGACTCAACGGTCTTGAGTTTCATTGGGTAGCTCTACCATTAGAGTCAGTTCTAAATGCACCATGTAAAGCCGGTGGAGCAGCTCTCCATTGATATGTGTTCAGAGATTAAGCATTCCTCTAAAAGCCCCATTGTAACCTTGCAAATGGACCCAGAGATTTGTGATTCCTGCTAAAGTAATTCCCATCTACGCGAGCCATAATATAAGACTTACTGGAGTTTTACAAGCTATTGCCAAAAACATGTATTATATTCAAATGGAGTTCATACACTGCGCTGACAATGGGAATATGGCTCTCTGAAGTTAATAGCTCTATACCCTCAGAGAAAATAACATGCTGGTTGAGAAACACGATTACAATTTTACACGTTTCTTTCAAAATATGACAACCCCTTTAGATTAGATTTACCGAACTCATGCATATTTTAACTGTGTTCGACACATTGTATTTTTGTTGTTGTTTTTCCGTTCGACTTAATATAGTGAGATGGACTTAACTAAATGAAACTGAAAAACATGTCCAATATAAATATGTAAAAACAGGTGTGATCCTGAAGGTGAGGTTTAATTTCTGAGCGCTGATGGAAAATGCTTAGTCACCCCAGATTGGTACGTTATCGTTTTCTTTTCATTACTACAAACTATGCATGATGAATGATCACTTTCATAGTTATTGAACCGGCCACAGGAGGAACAAGTCAAACTGTTTGCATATTGTTTTAGCTGCCAAGTCATTAAAATCCTCCAGTGATGAGCTGAAGCTCGACCCCCGCACATCTCTGGAGACTTTTCCTTAAGTTGGGAAATCCAGGAGAGCAGAATGAATATGCATCCGTAAATAAGGCCCTAACAAAAATGTGACAGCTTTCATTAAAGGGTGAGTGGTTGCTCTGTTGCGCGCTTGGCAGAGCTGACAGTGGGTGACCCCGTTCAGAAGAGGTTTTGCACTGTGCAGCATAATTTCCCATTACTACATGTCACACCTGCTGCCAAGGATTCCCACGGGAGAAACAAGACTCACACACACACAATGACACGTAGAGATGATACACACCCATGCAGCACCCATCACCCCAAAACCCAGCTACACACTCTGGCGCTCGGCCAAGAGAGCTCCCTTTCACGACAACCTTCACCCACCTCCACAACTAGGCAGTTACTCAAGAGGAAAAGCCACCTAAACGACGCTGATGAAACAGCTTGCCACACAGCAAAGCAGGAAAGTTTTGGAGCCTGGGGAAACACCCTTCATCCTTTATGACATTACAAAACTGTGTGACATGAACCCAGGCGTCCCACAGAGGCCCGACCTTGCAAAGGCTTATGGGAATTGTAAGCTGTTGCTGACACACTTCGGCCACGGCCCTGACCTCCTCTGGTATGTTTCACCGAAACAATCTAATAAACATCCAGATGAGATTGTATCACATGATTAATTGTTGGCTAGTAGTTATTTAAACGTTTCCTAGCAACAAAGTTAAGCAGTTAATTTTTCCCTTTTAGAAAATTAGGCTTGTCATTTCTAGAAGCCGCAAAGAGTCTTCAGAGATCATCTTCACGTGGCATCAAATCAATCACACTTTAGGATGACACAATTCTAGAAATTCCTCAAGTATTTTCATTGTTTATTGATTCAATTGTTCTTATCGAACATAGCACTGATAGAAACACAAACAAAAAGCAAATGTACTTTTATTGCGCACAGTTTTGAAGTACTTGTTGTTTTTTTAACTTTTAATTTACTTTAATTTCTAACTTGAATCTATTTTTTAATTATAGTTACAAGTTATCTCACATAAGGATTTAACTTGCAAAGATGTGATCCATTTTCTAAATATGATAGAAAAACTAACGAGCTGTTTATGAGGCAATTAAAATTCACTCAAACGATCAGCAGCAAGTACTAACATTTAAATACATTAATAATCCAATAGTACACTTCTACTAAAAGTGCTTAATCATTATTTTACTTCAAATACTTCTATACTTTCATTTTAGGACATGTTTGAATGCACAACTTGTACTCCATACTTGTAATGGAGCATCTTAGTGTGTTTTTTAGATTTAATGATGTGAATACTTGAGACCCGAAAAACTGCACCACCATTGAGTTTTTTCAGGAGCATGCTCAAAGCAGAGGAAACTGCATCTGAAACAGCAAAGTGTTCTCTTCCCACTGTAGATGTATGTCGTTGCCTCTAGAGGAAAAAGCATGTCATACTATGTGTTCAAATTGTTTGTTGAACTGGACTTTTTGTGCAAGGTAGCTTTTATGATTCCAGCCAGCTGTGTGGCTGCCTCAGCTTCATCGCAGTGGTGGGAAGCCGACGGGACTTTGGGAAAGCTTTGCCTCCTGCAGCGCTGGCTCAGAGGACATCTGAAGCCCAGAGGACTCGGCGAGGGAGAAGCCAGTCGTGGAACAGATGAGCGTTCAGCTCGGAGAACACGAGGAGAGCAGCAGTTTGAGGAGAGGTAACAAGGATGTAACAGCTGGAAACAGGTTAGCGCTGTCAGCCTTAAAGTTTAAATTGACTAATTGGCACGGGATTACATTTACACTTGTAGGTTATTCCACCTTTGTTGTTGTCTTGGTATTATGTGCAATCAAGAAAAAATATTGATACAATTGACTATCGCGATCTTACATTTTGCGATACCATATCGATTCTCAAAAACAATGCATCAAGTATTTCTGTGTCATTTTCTATTCTAGCTTAATTTAGACATAAGGAGTCCTTCAGCACTCTTTCATTTTGTATCTAAATCAGGGGGGTCAAACTCAAAGGGCCGGTTGTAACTTTCAATCTCAATCTTTATTTATGTATATAGCACATTTAAAACCACCTCAGTTGACCAAAATGCAGGGCACAAATATAAAATAACACAATAGGAGTAAAATAATAAAACAATAATTAACAACAAGATAAAAAGCACAATAACTATTATTGAACTTCATAATTAACTACGTCTGAAATCAGAAGTCTAGGGAAATGTTCAGTGTGCATGTCACAAAATGAGATGCATTGTGGGACATGTAGTTTATGTACAGCGTGCTTCTGTAAAGCGGCATTCAACCGTGTAATAAACATATTATATTCTTTGCAAGCTCTTGCGGGCCACATAAAATGAAGTTGAGGGCCGGATTTGGCCCCCGGGCCTTGAGTTTGACACCCCTGATCTAAATGATTAAAATGTTGCACAAATGTAGTGCAAGGGTGTTGAATGCTAAATGCTAATTATTTTCCTACTGTTACGAATACTGTTATTCAGATTGAATGCATATGGTGGTTTGTTATAGAGCCCTATAATTAAAAATAGCAATATACTGCCTTTCTTACAATGTATTGCAATATATTTGATCACAACGCGTGTATGAAACGTTTGGTATCCCCATTTCCTAAATCATACAAATATAAATATGTTATGATATGACCACCTTCATGGTCCAAGGTAATGCAGCAACATTAATAAGCGAAGCAAAAAGCAAAGACTTTGTTCACTGTGATGTATAACTTGGGCATTTGGAGCATGTCTTTATAGTCCTTAAAGTCTTGTATGTATTTAGAAGTGCACATTTTAATGAGTATAACACATCCTTTAACGTTTCAATACTTCTCATTATTGTCATGGCACTGTTCCCACTGTTGTCTTGGTACAGTACTCATCTTCAGCCAATAACTCCGATGACATTTAGACCCTACTTTGAGAATAATGGTTTGAATCAAAAACATCTTAACCAACGACTGGAGAAAACACGTTTTGAATAGGAATTAGAGAAGGAGAACATGGCTGTAATTGTGGTTCAACACATTTGCTTTAAGCTTCCTGTGATGAGCAGGTTAAGTGGGGTGACAATAATACTTTGGTAATCAAAGACAATTTACCACACTATAATTCCAGCGAGGGGCAAAAGTTCAACAAATTACATTTAAGGCAAATGAAGAAGTAAGCCATGCAAACTAGTTCAAAGAGAAAACACGAAATGCGTTTGTAAAAACACATTTCGGGTAATTACTTAAGTAACTCCCCCGTAACGGTTCTTCAGTTTATTTTAAAATGTAAATTAGTGTGTGCTCACAACTGCATGCATCCAGGCATCAAGAGTAAATTGTGCTTTTTTTTAAGGTACCTGTAATTGAAATAACTCCAGAACAAATTTGTATAAAATGTTCAATTCATTAGCAGTGAATTCATGAATCATGAGTAATTTGCCTTCCTCCAGTCTCCTCACACATGTCTGATCCTAGAATGTTCATTAAAGTGGGAAAATAATGCAAATTAATTTCCAAAGAAAATCTAGGCACAAAGTAATTATGTAAAGCAACTGGAAGCTGCTCAGTGTGACAGCCTGACCCTCTCATGGGTGCTGAGACAAA